ACCAAACAATAAAGCTCATATGATAGCTTGGGAAATAATCAAAATAAAGTATTTTAGTTTGACTTAATCTTGAATTGATGTCTTGGGTGCCATCTACACAAACAAAAATAAAGAAATAAAATAGCTCAAATATCACAGTAATAAAAGTGGAGGAAGCAAAGCTCTACAATCCATGCATGGTTACTAATGAAATAAGGTAAGGACACAATACTCTACAATCCATGGTGACGAAATGAGTATCTTTGCTCCTGTGTTGTGATATTGAAGATCAATCAACTAGTTCTGTCAACATTCATTTGCAGAGTCTTTCCTTTCCCAGCAGGCCCTCAACTCTGACCTTGTTGGTGGATCAAGCGGGTGACAGCCAGGCATAGAGAAAGCATCCTTTTGGATTTTCCATGGCAGTGCCACCCGGGATATTCCCCTGCACACCCTGTCCTGCTGTCACCTACTTACCCGTTTCCTCTTCGTAACTAACTGTCCTTTGCGCCGTCTGTACTTGCTCTTGTCCTCGTTTCTGGTGGCCTGAAATATCTCTGTGCTGCTTTCCTTTCTTACCTGTAGGAAGGTTGGTTCCTCTTCAGTTTGTCTCCCCATTTGTTCCTGAGCCACAGAGATCCAGGTTGTATCTCCTCACTTTCTCTAGTCTCCTGCTCAAATTGACGCCTTCCTTACTCCACTGAATTTTTTATTTTATGAATGAAGTCCTCTGTTTCCCACTTTTCTGCTTTAAACTTGGTGTTTTGTCTTTTATTTTCAAGAGTTTTATTGTACTTTTAAGGAACATATTCACTCCTTTTTTCCTTTTTTTCAAAGTTAACTGGTAGTATCAACACTGTTCCCAATATATAAGCTTTCTGTGACTAGGACCTGTTGAAATGAATGCTCTGTTCATATACCTATAGTGGGAGCTGACTTTAAAATCAAGGTTAGGCTCCAAAGATACACAGAAAGCTACATGTCTTAAGCTATTGTTTCTCAGATTTTACAAAAATATCTCAGGAATTTTTCATGCCAATCCATTTTTACACAAAATGCTGTGCTTCTTTTAGTCTAGAGAGCATCTTGCTCATATTTCTGACATTGATGTCATTTTCAAGGAGACTTCAGTATGTATTAAGAACCTTCATTCGCAAAACAGCATGTGACCAAGTTGTAGGCTTCTCAACAATGAGCATACACACTCTGAAATCTTCAAACATTCTAGTACTGTACATGTAATGCTACAATAAGTGTTCATTTCTGAGAGGTCACTGTAGATGTACTCTCTTGTCAAGAAGATTAAAAGGGGATAAATAAATCCACTATATATTCTTCATATTTTAAATCATATTTTGAAGAAATAATACTTCTACCTTTAAGAGACATTGAAAATTCTGCTATTTTTATCTTCCTTGTATATTGAGTCAAGTTTCACAATGCTCGTTTTAATGGGATTGTAATGGCAGCTAATATAAGTCATCACAATTGCATGAATGATGGATATGAGAATGTTGTGTTTAATGATAATGCATGTGATATCTGTAGGTGTTGACAGATTTTCAAGTGGGATATAGGGAATCACGATTGTGGCAATAGAGAGGAAAGATCAATTATTTATTTTATGTAGAGGAGTTACAGGTCAGATGTGAAATAGACTCATTATTTTTCTCTTATTCCCAAAGGCTTGTTCCAATAAGTGTCTATTGATCCATCGTCCCCAGCGGTATTCTCCTACTGATGGATTAGGCATTTTTTGTGCTTGAGATTCATGCTTCTTTTGTAAGAAGGTTAATTTTTTATTTGTTCAATTACTTACTTTTCAAAAATTTGGATTTTAGATAATCTTAGTATAGTAACAGGAAAAATAAAAAGTCTGTAACTTTTTAAAGAATTGTTTACTTTATACATTTAAATGCAAACTGATCCATCCTCAGTAGATAAAAGTAGGAAATAAAAATTCTGGAATAAGCAAAATGTATAAAAATTGAGACAGGACAGTTGTTAGTTGTTACTTATCTCCAAGATGTTGTCCAACTTCATTGTTTTCTAATTGTAAGCATGTGTGTGTGTGTGTGAGAGAGAATGTATATATTTAATTTCAACACACTTTTCAGAACAGCAAGTCTTTTGCATACTGTATTTACCAATAGTATGCCAGCTAATAATGACGATAGTATTATTTTTCTTAGCATATACAAATAATATTGTAAAATCATTTAAAATGTATTTTTGCTTATAAAATTTAATTCACAAAGAACACTGTCATGTAATTTTACAAGATATATTCTTTGAGGCAATGTTTTCCAAAGCTACTCATTATGAATTGTTAAAAGTAGATATAATATATATATGTATGTATGTATATATGTGTGTGTATGCACGTACACATATGAACATATCTGCAGTTTTCAAAAGAAACATGTACAAAGAAGTTCTTTTTGCCTTGAAATTTTATGCTATAATTTCTTCTTTTTGATATACTGTATTGAGAATAAAGGGGAAGTAAGATATGTAAGGAAAGACAATAATTCTGTCATTTAGTTGGAAAATGTGAGGGAAAAGGGTTATAAATGAAGAAACAAAAAGTAGACTAGGCCAGAACCAAGAAAGAAGAATGAAAAGCTATGCTGAGGAAATTACAACCGTAAATAATATTCCTCTTGGAGTTAGTGACTCAGACAATCACCCAGTGAACTGCAGCTAGTCACAGAGAAAGCTGGGTTGAAAAACATTAGTGTAACACTTACTATTTTCCTACCAGGCAGAAGCAGTCATCACGTTCCATCAGAGAAACACGGCAGAATAAAAAAGAAACAAAAACTAGGTAATAGGTAAGATTTACCAAACCTGAGTAAGGTAGTGCTTCTGTGTATTTTTAACATCTCAAACTGCTATGTAGTAAGAAATAGTAAGAACTAGAATCACACAACTCCAAGGCTCAAACAAGGGTTTACAAACAATAAAATTATTATTAAATGCCGAGGTGTTTCTGAACTGCACACTTTAAACAATTATTTATTACAAATTGCTAGTTCTTGTGTTGCCTATTGTAAAAGCCATTCATGCTTGGCTACAAGCCATGACAGTGTATGCAAAAGAATATGAATATGAATTACCCAAGCCAAACAATGATGAAGAACTGGAAATAACAATGATATATTTTTGTTGATTTCTGAGAAATTACTCTCAATGTATGAATGTGCATTCTAGCAAAAGTCAAGGTCTTTCTTGATTGGACATATTATATTTGGTTCCTATGTATGGAAACAACAAAAGGGAAACACATAAATAACAAAAATTAAGAGATTTTCAATGTGTCCTTATTGGGAAAAAAAGAATTAATGTAGAAATATTTTGGATGATATATTCTACATGTAAAACCAATTTGCCCTTCAATAAATAAAGTATTTTTTTAACTTTATAGTTACTATATTTCTTTTGAATTGACACATAGACACTCTCCTACAAATGTCATTTCCCTTTAACTCAAATAAGAAACTGTCTTATTCTTCTCCCTGCTGCTAGTTGAGAAGCCTGTTAACAAAAAATGCATTAAGGCAAGCAGGATTTGCGTAGACATCAATACATTGGAAAGGCTCCCAGCAGGCCACTTGTAGTGTCAATAAAAGCTCATCATGACTTGCTCCTTGGTGCATTTTAGACTCAGCCCTTTGCTTGACTGTGCTGCAGAGATTAGGCTCTTGAAACTTGGGAGATTTTTAATTTAGTAAACCTCAAGTAGAGATTGGCATGCATCAGCAAGGAAACCGGGTCTCACAATAAGGTTTGTTGTGTTATTTTTAGAGACATTAGCAGCTAAGCAAACTCCATCCCTGAACTTCTGGAACTCCAGATTTTAAGCAAGAGTGATGTCTTTTCATTTCATGCTGCTCTAGGAGTTATGTAGCAGAAGAATCCCTTCGCAGGTCTCAGGATGGCCAAGTTCTGGTGGTGACTTAAATGGTTTGAGGCAATGCTCAGCCTGAAGGAGCAGGAATCCAGACATCAGAGCCTAGGGCATCTTGGGGCTCAGTCATAGATAGGAAGGAGCCTGGCTTCCAGGCTCTGTCTCCTGCTGTGGAAGACTGCAGATGGTAAGTGTGATAAGCCTCAGCAGTCAGCTCTCTTGGATGTGCCGGAAACTAGGAATGGAGAGGTGCTCACACACACAACTCAGAAAGCGCGCCAGCTGCACAATACAATAGGAGCAAGGAAAATGGTAGGAGGGAGGAGGGGGCGGGAAATCAGAGGCCAAAACACTTGAGTTAGATTTTCAAGAGGTGGCTGCCTGTCCTGCTTTCTTTCTTCTTTCCTTGGACTGTGACTGTGTTTGTGGGTGTGCCGGAGTCCAGTCCGGAGGTCGCTTCTTTTTCTCAGAACCCTGTTTCTCTGCTGTTAAGTTTAAATGGCAGTGCACTTCCCTTCACTTCTTCGTGAGAGGTTTCCAAATGACAACTGGAGGGTCACATAAATATCCATAACGTTCACAACGCCACCTCTGACTTAACATGCTTACCGCAACCTTCAAGCTGGGATCCTCAGTACCCACCCATCCTGACCGAGACCAGCTCATTGTCTCCTGTGAATATTTGCGTTTTCCAGACAGAGTTGTGCAATGGAGTAATGAGCGTCCTCTTTCCACTTCCCCGCTGGATGCCACTCTACATCGGATGGGTTTATTCGCTAGTTGGATCATGTATGTTTAGCAAACACGCTTCCAATAGCAGGCTCCTTTCTCATCGCACCCCTAACCCTGTGCATTGCATTCCTCCGGTGGGATGAGTCTCTCCCCTTTCTCAGAGCACTCCTCACATTGATGTAGTCAGATGGTCTGGACGCCCGCGGATCGGGAGCTTTGGCGTTTGGGCGTCCTAGGAGACGCGAGGAGCGTATCTGTGGTGTGTGTCTCTGGTTTTTGGAGTATGTGCGCGAGAACGCGCGCGCGTGCGACAGTGAGCTTCCTCCCCCTGCATAGTGCAGACCATGCCCACAACGTTACTCTCCTCCTAGCAGCCACCAGCAACGCAAGGCAACAGCAGCCTCCGCCCCCTCAGCCCGGTGATTGGCTGGCCTTGCTTATCATTTCCCTGCTACAGTGAGGAAAGGGCCAGTGACGCCCCCGAGCCCAGCTGCAGAAGCGACCGCCACCTCCAATGCACAAGGTGTCACGTTTGAAAAGAAACCTGAGCCCCGGGGAGAAGGCGCCCAGCGACCCTGGCCTGGCTAGTGCAAACTGCGCGGCTGGGCGCTGGGCAGCGCTGGAGAACCCGGAGAGCTTCACCGCAGAACATCCTAGCGACCTGATTCTGGGATCTCGGCTCCACGCTCCCTTCGCAGTCTTCAGATTTCTCCCCCTCGATTATTTCCCCAAAACGGAACCTTTATACCAAGAGAAGGTGCCGGAGCTGGGGCAACCAGGACTTTCTCGGGCACCCAAGATGCGCTCCATTAGAAAACGGTGGACCATCTGCACTATAAGTCTACTTCTGATCTTTTATAAGACAAAAGAAATAGCGAGAACTGAGGAGCACCAAGAGACGCAACTCATCGGGTAAATGCATGTTTAGGATGTGACACAAAGTCAAGCTGTAGTGAAGTGTGCAGAGTGACGTCTGGGGAGTGCTGTGTGTGTTGCTTTTGAGCCTGCCTGTGTGACTAGTGTCATGAATTCAATAACAAAGGCTCTTTGGAGGCGTGTGTGTGTGTGTGTGTGTGTGTGTGTGTGTGTGTGTGTGTGTGTGTGTGTGTGTTTTTCCCAGGCTGTTTCCAGTGTGAGTTTAACTTGCCCTGTGCGGTGGAGATGGTGGTGATGACAGATGTACTGGCAAGGGTGCTGCTGCTCACTGAAAAAAGTCACTGCAGAAGTGTCAACCAAGAGCGGGTGTCCTTGTCATTTCAGTGCTTGAGCACAACTCCAGAGATGTTTTACTCATGGAGTCCTTGTCTTTCCCTTCCTTCTGTGCCCTGCCAGTGTAGCAGGACACTATAAAAAGCGGCTTGCTCGAAAGGCAGAAGTTTAAGTTCACGGAAGAGGAAATGGGTCTCTTTACTCTTTCTTGTTTGTTTGTTTATGATTTGGGTGGTGGTGGGAGGCGCCTGTGGGGTCCGTTTTCTTTCTTTTCTAATTAGAAAATACAGTGTCGATAAGGATAGCTCCCTATGTACTCCTCCGTGGAAAAAAAACTCCTGGCTTTTACGCTTACAGTTTTAGAAGGGAACTGTGCCTACAGACCATATATCATTGCTTCTTCTTGAGTTTATCAAGATGTGTTCAAAATCTCCGCCCCGTTAAGTTCTGTGAATACCACACTTCCTTCCTCTCTCCGCTGGCTTCTCTGCCTTTGAAGTCTGTTCAGAGCACAGCTCCTTGTAACTTCGTGCCTCTGACTGGCTTGGAAGCGTTTTGTTCTAAGGATATGGTCCTGCTTGTCAACTCTGTTAAAAGTCCTGTTTCGGAAATCCTTCCAAGCCCGGAGGTTTCCGCAGTCGGAAGCTGCCCTGGCTGAGATTTCCTTCTGTTCTTAAATTGTCTCTGACATTTTTAAAAAGAAAAGGGATGCTTGCCGTTTTTTATGTGTGCGCGGATTGTGTGGGGGCGGGGGCACGGGGCTGCTAAAATACACACTGTGAAACTTTATGCAGCTCTTTTCTTAATGCCTACCCCTGCTCCTCTCTGAGTAATCAGTCGCATTTAAGTAAGCCAGAGGCAGGTGTATCCTTGCAGCAGGACCTGCGAATCTGTTCAAAGCTAGCCTCACAGTACCACATTCAAGGGGGACTGTGGGAGAAGAGAAAGCGAATAAGGAGGGGGCTGAATGGTCCTTATGCTTCAACAAACCTATTCAGGGTCTGTATCAGAGAAAATACATACATACATACATACATACATACATACATACATACAATAATTATGTGAGGTCGTTCACACAGAAGTGGGTGGTTTGAAAATCCATGTCAATGGTGGAAAAGAAAAAATTGGGAGGGGTGTGGGCGTCCCTAGCAGACCTGTTTTTTTTTTTTTTTTTTTTTTTTTTTTGCCAGGCAGACAAAGGGGTCTTGAAGGTGGTGAACCCGTGCGTGGGAATTCCTGGGAGAGGCGGAGGATGGGGCTTGTGAGTAGAGGCTCTTTGTTCCCTTCTGAACTGATGGGTTTGGAAGATGAGCCTGAGCCTAGACAAAGCAGCCAAGCCTCTACAGGACTCCAGTGGTGTGGGACCCTGGTGAGCAGGAGTGGGCGTGGCCATGAGCACGGTCTCTAAATACTGGAAAGGAATCCGTTCCTAACCTGCCTAAACTGCCCTCAGAGAAGAGGCATACACCCCAGGGCCCCAGAGGGAAATAACAGATCCAGGACACTCCACGTTTCACAGCGACGTTTCCTCTGTGGCCTTTTTCTGGAAATCTTTGGAGGGTGGGAGCCGCCGTGGGAGATGGGGAACGGCTAGCAGCGCCACGGTGGCTGGGTAGCTCTGCTAAGCTGTGGCCTGCACCCTTTGCGCCCCCCCCCCATCCCCGAAACGCCTTTCCTTTCGTCCCAGTTCATTTGGGGAGGCTTGAGGCAGTCGCTTGAGGTGATACAACAGGAAGAGAGGTGTGCCCGGTGTATCCTCTCCTGTCAGAGAACTAGCTGCCAGAGCAGGATAAAGAGGAGACCGGGTAGAGGGCCCATCGCTTCTGAAAGGCATCACTTTTTGTAACAAACACAAAATTCACGTTCAGAGCTCCTCCTCTTGAATTAAAATCTCTCTAATTACAACTGCAGTCCTTTCGGGCAAAACAGGGACCTGGCTGTGGAGTCAGCCCTTGTACACGTGCTGGTGGAATTCTGACTGCCCTAAGCTTTCTGACTCAGTAGTGCAAGGTCGAAACAGCGTTGCTAGGAGCAGTGCAGGGTAGCTGTTGTCTGGACCTTCACTTCCTTTCCTTCAGAAGGAGAGATTTGGGAGAAAAGCCTGTGGCCTGAGCACGTGGCTTTCTTTCAACTCCCCCCCCCCGTGCAAGTCCTCCCCACCCCACCCCCGCCCAACACACACACACACACACACACACACACACACACACACACACACACACACACACGCCTCTGGCCGAGCAGCTGACTCATCAGCTAACTCATCTCCCTTCTCCTTGAAAGCTTATGTGGAGAGGCCAGTTTTGAGACGACTCACGGAGTATATACATAGGGGCTCTGGAGCCCAGAGCAAAGCTACGCTTAAAAGTGAAGTAACAGAGGCAGTCTACAGCCTTTGGGGGGCACTGCATGCCTTGCGGGTGGGCAGTAGTTTCAACCTAGTCCTTTACTCTTAACATTCCTCCCGGTTCATAGTCTACATTCCCGCTCCCATGAGCATTTCTCACTAGGTAGGCGGTGGCTCTATTCAACCCTTCTTCGGTTAGCAGAGTCCCCAGGAAAAGCCCCTGTGCAGCACCATTCTCCAGTATTAAACAGTCATGCTATGCAGAGAGGAAAACACTAGCTGAGAAACTTTGCAGCCCATCAGCAGTGTGTTCAACAGGCCCAAGGGATCATTCCCAATAATTCTAGCACTAGTCCGTGAGCACCTGGAACTGCCATTTCCATTTTCTTCTGTACAGACTTTGCTGATTGTTAGAATGACTTTCTTAAGTTTACCTCAGATGATCGGGAGCATTAAGTGGGTCACTCTTGACATTTTTCTTTTCTTTTTTTCTTTTCTCTTTTTCTTTCTTTTTTTTTTTTTTTTTTTTTTTTTTTTTTTGGTCTGTGCCTCACATTTGTCCCACTTCCCCACCCTTCCTGTATTCATCAGCAAAAAATACTGGAAATAGGTTTGAAGATTCCCACGTGCAGTATACCAACACGCCTATCTAATAAGAAAGGAATTAGAAAGTGTGACAAAGTTAAGTGATGTATTCTGTGTTCGTTAGATTCTCCGAAACTTTCTTGGCAGAGTGAAATGAGACTTAAACATACTTGTCTTAAACATACCTTTTTTTCCCCCGTATGTTACCAAATGAACAACAGTTATGAGTTCTGGCATTCATAAAGTTGACAGTGAAGCTAAACACTGACTGTGCATAGGATACCTTAGTTTTACTTTGTTTCAAGGCAGTTTGAGGAAACCAGCGCCCCATGGTTCCCACTTCATAGATTATCTTTGAAATTACACTACACTGTAGCTGATCTTTGTTTGTTTGGCACTTTGGGAATAAAATATAGAATCGCCCCCTCCTGCTTGGGTTCAAACTTTTTTTTTTTTTTTTTTTTTGATTCAAGTACTTTTGTCGATATGATTTTTAAAAGTTTAAATTAGTGAGGAAGTTTAGTGTGGTCACATTCATCCCAATGCCAAGTAGCCATTGGGAGCTTCAGTGGGATGGATTTAGCTGCTGAGACATAGCATCCAAAGGCATGCTTAGTAACCTTTGTTATGGATATCAGAACTGGTGAAATAAGGTTCTGCAAAGACTGGAAACTCATATCAAAGAGGAAACAGCAACAAAAGATTTGTAGATGTTAGGTGACAAAGTAAGACTATTCCCTTTTTTGATCGATTTTCACAGCACCATGTAAGCAGGAACACTGGGAGGTTGCCTTCTTTAGTGCCCAGTGATTTCTGTTATGTCTTTAGACTCTTCCCTCTTAAAATTGCATGCTGAATGTTTTGTAGGTATCTCCACTCGAGGAAAAAAAAAAGCTTTAGGTGCAGCTGTACAGGTGTCATGTTCAAGCTAGAAACACACAGTGGGTGGCAATGTCCTTCATGCCTTGAGATCATGGGAAGGGAGTCTAGGGAGTCTGTGTTAAGACAGAGGGAAAGCAAGATCATGAGCAAAAATATCCCCGGGGACCTGTTTAACTTTGCAGAAAAGAAAAGGAAAAAAGTATGCTCGCTAGTCTACACGATTTCCTTTTGTGTGAAGGAGAAGTTTGAGTGCCTGCACCCACCCTCTCCCACTCAAGGGTCTTTCCAGTGACAGAAGCCTGATGTGTGGCCAATCGCCAGTTTAAAAAGAAGCAGTTCAAACAGTGAAGGGCTATGTTGGCACAGTGTTCACAGAAAATGGATTGGGACTTTCTCAATTTTAATTTTAGAAGTTCTGACGAGGCTCTGTAGAGCCGAATATAGTGCTATAAAAACCACAGTGCCATAATACAATATAAATTTGAAAAGTTGGAGCTCATGTATAGTTCTTCTTCTGTGAAAATATATCGGTTGTGAAAATTACTATTCTAATCTTTGCAATCTGTGGCAGAAGAATGATATGAAGTGAATGAATGGAGGAAAGATAGAAATCTCCTTGCCTCCTGCCATGAGAATAGTGATAATTGACGCCGGCTTAAAGGTCTATTCCAGCGTGTGAAGGTTAACTTTTGTGCACAGCCACACTTTCACTCACATGTAATTATTACCGTTAAATGTATTATATGAAAATTGATGACTAGCTCACTGCTTGGTACAATGTACCCTGTTTCCTAACATCCTAAATGACCTATCTAAATGGTTATCATTAGCCTTGCACGGACATGCAAGTGTGTCACTCTAGTCAGCAGAACTGTGTAAAATACTAATTTGTACAGAGTTCCAAATTTCACAGGGAGTGCCTTTCATATGATTTCACAAGCAGCACAGAGAGCTGCTTCAAATTAAAACTACATATTAAAAAAAAAATGTAAAGCAAGAAGCAAACAACAAGCCTCCAGTTTTAGAATCCTCCAAGAGCTGTTAAAGGGCAGTGTTTCTGTTGGTGGAGAACATTTCCTAGGTAATACACACACATTCAAACTTTGATTTTGAACACGAATTTTACTTTTTAGTAGTGCTATTGAGAGGCAAAAAATTAAAAGGTTGCATGTAAATAATCAGTACAAATATTGAAAGCTAAGCTTTTTCTTTCTCTGCTACAGTGAATGAACTTCTATTTCTCTGAATCCTTCACCAGAAATCAGAATGACAAACATCTATCCAATAATGAACTGCTTAGCCCTACAGATCCTCATGGTTTAAAGAAAAAAAAAATAGATGTCTCTCTTCATCATGACAATACCAAACTCCTAAAATTACCAGTTCATATTAGAGAATATTGATAGAAAAAGGTAGTTGCAAAAGCATTAGACATGTGAGCTGAATGAATCTTCCTCTCTGCCTCCTGGTAATCTCACCCTTATTGTGTTAGAAAACAATTCTTCTTAAATTGGTACTTCAACAATGCTTGAAAAATTACTTTGTTATAGAGAAAACCCATAATCTTTGAAGTCATTGCATATTAAATAGCGCTACTGCTCTTTGTCAAGGCTAAGGTATGACCACAGTGACGTAGTGAACTCTCGTGCCCAAGCATACAGAGCATGCCATGAACTCAAGAGCATGCACAGATCTATTATGCACTAGATTTTCTTAATAGTCCTCAGCCAAACCTGTATTCAGTACTTTTATATGTCTTCTCTGACACAAAATCAATCGTGGTCCCCAAAGTTATAGGCTGGCAGAAGAACTGAGCAAACATCGTGCAGTGTAAACAGTGGGGGTGGGGTGGGGTTAGTTAGCTAGTTAGCATTGTAGCTTTGATGAGAGTTATTTTTCTTCAAATACTAATGGCGGATTCTGGTCTAAAAAATATGTAAAAGTTTGCTGTGATAACATCCACCACTTAACTCCTAAAATACCTGCCATGTTGCTTCTCTTTCCTTCTAACTTGCAAAAATAACATCCAACTTTTGCTCACTGATGTAAATGGAACTTGTGCCAAGCGTGTCTGATGTTCACATGGCTGGCCTGCTTGTTTTGTTTCAGAGATGGTGAACTGTGTTTGAGTAGATCACTTGTCAACAGCTCTGATAAAATCATTCGGAAGGCTGGCTCAACCATCTTCCAACATTCTGTACAAGGCTGGAGAATCAATTCTTCTTTAGTACTGGAGATACGGTGAGTTCCTTCAATAAGCGCCTGAAATTTCACATCATGTTTCTTAAACATGTTGGGTTTGGCAAACTTATATTGAACATTTGATTTATGGCTTGAGTGTGAATGTTTAATGAAAAAGTGAATCGGCTGTATTTAATGTTCCTCGTGGAAGAATGTAGAACAAAGAAGTAAAACCGTTCCTTAGTCAAAATTTCAAGGATGATGGAATTTTGAATATACTATCTTATTATCAGTGGAATAAAGTATTGAGCCAAGTACTGACCTTTCACATAGTTTTTTTTTACTCAATTATTCAGGATGAACATTCATTTTCAGAATCATTTTCTTAATCTTTCCTTATCGAGACTTTGTTTTGACCTGACATTTAACTGTATAGACCAGAGGTTCCTCAATTCCTGTTGTTTTAAGTATGGATTGGTTTGATTTAGTCAAGGTTATGCCTGTATAAGCTCATGCGAAAGAGGGAACAAAACGTCAGAAAATAAACTTTCTAAAGTTCTGGCTTATTCTTTGTCAGGCAGACATTTTATACTGGAATGAATTATTGGAGGAAAATCCAGTGACTCCTGTCCATTACAATGCTGTCTTCTATTTCAATCCTAAAGTTAATGAAAAAAAAAATGGGCTATACATTCCTAAGCATGGAGAGGGCAAGAACCACATTTTTCCTTATATATCCATTACGCCACTGCTTTGGTTGGTATGCCTAAACTAAAACATTTTGGTAATTCAGAACTAAAGAAGTTTGAGAGAATATATCCCACATACATACACACATACACATATACTCATTTCTTTTTTAGTTTTTTTGCATAATGCTAATTATTTATTGATGAGATATTGACATTGAAATTTTATAATAGCAGCCGACTGATTAAAAAGCTGAGGGTCACATCTATTTGTCAGCTTGATATTGTTGTCCTCTTGTGTTACCTGTAGAATATCTTCTTCTGAGTGTCCCTTAACTAGCTCTTTCTTTGAATCTAAAATAAGTTACCAATGAATTAATTATTAGGAATGAGTTGATAAAAGAGCATAACATTAGATCTCAGAAGTTGATTGGAAGGGAAAAGAGAAAAAGGTGATAAAAAGAAAAGAAGTTATTTACAATCATGACTTCAAAGAAAAATGATCTGGCAAAAAAGGAGTCATGGCTGCATGAATAGTGTAAAGGAAAGTGGTGGAGAGTCATACAAAAGAAAATTACAACAGTTTAACATATGTAGTCATGCTTAAAATGTGCCATGTATTTGAAAATCAAAAGAGTATACTAAATGAATAATATAACTCCATAATTAATACATCAGTCCATGCATTCCTGATGTCGTTTCAAAAATGAATGCTATATATATTCATGAGGCTTGAAATTTACATTTGCTTTGTTACTAAGGTAGCCAGTCTAAAGGTGTTAAGTATAAACTGACTCGAGTCCTTTGTTGGAACTTTATCAACTAATGAAGGCTGCAATTGTAGTTTTGAAGGTGAGCGTTTCCAGTTAACAACTGTTAATATGGATGAGATGTTAGTACTAGCTATGTTTATATTGTTCCCTTAACAAAGAGGTAAACAACGAAACAGTGAACAAATATTGAATAATACATACAAAGTTGTCATTTGTAAGGAAAGAATAATTTGTAAGTTCATTATTGCACAATGTGCAAACAGTTCATAAAAATTACAATTGCTTCTAGCAGCAATGACTACTGAGTATTAATCAGTTTGACACCTGTAATAAAAGATGTAGGATATGAAAACATCTTGCTGTTTGGCTTAGGTTTTACAAGTCTGTTGTTAACCACATGTGTGAATGGGTGGCTGGATACTGTTCAAGTTTTTGAATGCTTTGATTGGGCCATTATCTATAATTGTTATTTTGTTTTGTTTTGTTTCTCTCTTAAATAGTTGAATTGTGCTTTAAGGTTTTCTGGGTTTTTTTAAAAATTACCATTATACATTATATTTATAATTTTCTAATGATATACATAACAAATAATTTGTTAATATACATTAACATGTGTGATGGTTGTATAGGAAACTTCCCTTTTATTTTTGGACATGAATTTTGATTCTTGCCCTCAGTCTTTCAGCCCGTTGATCTGCATTTTTCATAAACACATCAGGTGTTGACTTAATAAACAATTGTCTGAGGATATTTATCCATTGTGCTTTGAAGACTCCGCAAGGTTTGAGGTGTTAATACACATTACAAGTAAATTCACAATCGAAGTGATTACCTTGTTCTGAGGTTTTGTTGTATTGACACTAGTTTTCTTCAGAAATGGTACATTTCAGTTTCACTAATTGTGAACAAACCTTGAATGTTGTCCGTTTCTGCCCAGCATCTGTCTCTTGACCTATTTCCTATTATTTTGGTTCTTTTTTTCTTTTCTCACTTTTCACATATTAAAAAGAAACAGAACCCTAAGACGTACAAATGCCAAATAAGGGTACAGAAATATATAAACTCAGCTACATTCCCCAAATAGATTGAATAGCGAACTATTTCAATCTCTCATATGTCTTAAATCTATGTGCTTAACTTAACATGAGTGCACATTTGTGTGTTTAGTTGTGTGAGAGAACTTGCTGTTACATTTATAGATTATTTTTTCCAAAATACACCATATACAATTCTTACAGTCTTATAGCTTCTGTGATCAGCTAGTGACAATAATGTTAATTGTGGCCTAAGAAGCTTATTTAGCCAAAGAGTCCACATTCCCATTTAGTGTTTTGCTGAGCTAGTTTTTTAAAGGAACAAATTGTAGAAGATTATATTTTGGTCCTGAATATGGATGGTTCTTTTATGGAGCATAGGATATTTATTTGATATGAAAATAAAAGATTACAAGTTTTTGTCATCCAGTTTCATGAAATTTATAGCCAAATGTGAAATGCTGACATGTAAAAAAAAACAGTGTTCTTCACATATTTTGGAACAATTTTAGTTTTCATGTGGTGTGATTGTTTAGCATTTTCCTCTTGATACTAAAATATCCTTCCTGTAACATGTTCCTCAGTTCTGAATTACTAAGTAATGAAAAGACTTTGTTCTTTTAGACCTTTGAGGCAAAATGCTTCAGAAGATAATCTTTTAGACAAAAAAAAAAAAAAAAAAAAAAAAAAAGAAAAAAAAAAAAAAAAACCAAAAACAAAAAAACAGTCATGTAGGGATATTTTTTTTTCATTTTACAGGCACAAGGCATAACAATGCAATTTCAAATTCTTTCCTTTTCACTTTAGTAAACTGTGTCATTATCAATCAGTTTTTTTGTTTTTGTTTTTGTTTTTTTATTTTTTTAAAACACAATGTTGGCTGAGCTCCTGAGGTTCAGTTGAAGAGAGGGAGAAGGGATCATAGGAACAAAGAAGTATAAGATCATGATGAGGAAAACCACAGAGACAGCTGACCCAAGCTAGTGGAAACTCACAGACTGTGGACTGACCCATAGTACCTGCATGGGAATAAACTAGGCCCTGTGAATGTAGGTCAGTTATGTGGCATCATCTGTTGGGGTGGGGGGTGGGGGGACTGGCAGTGCCACTGGGACCTATCCCAGGCGTTTGAATTGGCTTTTTGGATCCAATTTCCTATGGTGGAATATCTTGCTCAGCCTTGTTACAATAGGGAGAGGCTTGGTCCTTCCTCAACTTGCTATTCCCTGAGAAAGTTCTAAACCCCTCAGAGGAGTGGATGGGGTGGAAAGTGGGGAGGGGGGCAGAAGGAGGGGACAGAGAGGGAACTGGAGTTTGTATGTGAAATGAAAAATGAATGTGTAGAATAAAAACCTGAAGTTTGCAAACACTGATTCGCTTCCTTATCTTTTCTGTTTATTTACTGTGATACATTTACATGAATTTCATTATGAATATGTATATATGCATATACATATGTGTGTATTTATATAAATAACCTAATTTGATTTGCTACTTTTAATGTATCCCTGTTATAAAGTATGTTACTTGGTGCTTTCTGGTAGGACAAATGCACTTTCAATGAAATTTCAGTTGCTACAACACATACTGTTAACACAACATGTGCAGAGAAGACAGACTGGCATGTGGTGGTGGGTTAGCTATATTTAACATTTCACAGACAAAAACAATATGTAGTAAATTAGTTCTCTGGGTCTCGGCAGCTGCTGTTACCACTGCTGGCTGGTGTTCAAAGGGAAGCTCTCCTTGAAACTTCAGTTGAGAAGTTTCTGTATAGAATCTTTTCTGTCAGTTTAACAGTCCACCAACCTTTGGGCTTAAGCCAACTTAGTCTTTAAAAAAAGAATGGTTTTTGTGACTAAGAGTTTTCAATCTCACTGAAAATGAAACATGTTTTCAATCACCATTAACTGTAAGTAGCTGTTGGCTTAACTAAAGCTGCCGGAAGGTCTGAATTAGCATGACCTAAATGACAGTTGGGATCTGAGTAGTCTCCTACCTTTGTTCTTTGGAGTTAGACACAATCCCGGACTTTAACTCTCTCTTTAGTGGCTTGACCACATACCAAGAAAGCCTGCACAGTTACAGCTCGTGTCCAAAACTAGTTTTTGCTGACTTGTGAGTCTGTAAGCTCGGGCGTTAAGCTGCTGTTGACGTCTTTCTGATGAAACCTAAAAGTTTTTCAATTTACTCTAAGAAAAGGGACATCTCATGTTTTCAGTGACACTTGGCTAATTATATTTAAGTACCATTTTTTCCTCTCCCTCCATTTACATATAGTCTAAGTGACAAGAGTATTTAGGAAATCCATGGAATTTCTTGTGTTCCATTGCATCTATAATTGCATAAGGATGCTTTTAGCCTTCTAAAGTGAGAAGAAACCAGTTCCTCGCTGGTTACAAAGGAACTTTGTGCTTCTGAATCACAATATTCTTCACTCATAACAATAATTGTAGGGATGTTATTATGCACGTCTACCAACAATATTATCTCCGGTAACATTCCATGCATAAATTCCAGCCTTAAAATAGGAATCAAATGTTTGGCTAAGTATAAGAAATAAAACACACACAAATCATTTAAAGTCATTCAAAGGCTTTTCCTTTTAACCTTCCGGTTTAAAATAGCACATTCTACATTTAAAAAGTTTAAAATCTTCTCATAAAGCTTTTTCTAATTTTAATTTTCATTAGTCTATATGATTTGAATTTTTTATTGTCTTTAAAGGTACTTTTATTTTGTTTGGTTTTTAAAACTTCTTCTTTGTAAAGAAGAATAAATGACGGCTAAGCCTCATAAGCCAGCATTAGGATACATGACATTGACCTGTACCCTACTGCACTTGAGACTGTTTATTTCATTAGCTACTATTTTCTCCCTAAAGTTAACCAGCCTGTGCACCTTACAATTTGTTTCAACTTCTCAAACACCTTTTAAATTTTTTCCCTAAGTGTGTTTAAAATACATGTGTTCCTCTTACTTGGGTTTCAGATAACGCACTTTGAAATGATTTTGCTTCTAATTTTCTATTAACCAGAAAAGGCGTTACTTTTGGAAAGCCCCTCTTGTCGGTCTGCAGGCACATAAGTGTAACATTTTGATGATGTGAAAGGGGGTTTCCCTTTTTGGATTTCTAAACTACAGAAACTTCCATCATAGCTGCAGCTCTGATCGTCTCCTCTGAAGCTGCCAAACATGCTACTCCTTTTGAGCCCAATCTTTAAATGCATCTACGGCCGCCCATTTCAGGACTCTTCAAAGGGAAATGGCAAGATCACCCACCTCGATGATTTAACCACATCCGTGCACTCTTTTACTTCCACGACAGCCTTGGCATCTTCACAGCTAATGAAAATTTGTGTTAATATACACACATCATCACGCCCTTCCTATGTCCCTCCAGGCAATCAAGTGGTAGTTAATAAATGCGGAGGCAAGATTATTTGTGGCGTCACTTTTGATAGTTGGGGGTCACTTTTGGGGAGAAGAACTAGATCCTTATAATGTTTTGTCCTTATTAATGAAACTGACATTACCCAGTGTCACACAGCATAGACGGCATTAGCACAAAGGGAAACTACATCTCTGTATCTGACATATTACTACCCGGCGCTCACTTTTACCCCTGTGAAGACAGAAGCTTGCCTTGAGAGCTCACTGGTGAATAACATCTGCTTAGCAGCCTTTACTGTGGCTTTTCACACACTGCCTTTCGCTACTCCGTTTGGTAGCTGTTGGATTAGGTACTCATGGGCTTTTGGAGGCCACGTTCCTGAGTTGTTGTCAATATCATTTCATCACAAGCTAGTAGATCTTGTCATATTTCTTTGACATTAGTTACAAATGTGAACGAATCCTTCTGAAGTCCCCTTGTTATGTTTTAAAATGATCCTAACCTTGCCCTCCATCCCATAATTTGATCACAGATACCCCTTTGTATCATTGAAATCTGTGGATTTACATAGAAAGATAATTGTATCACTCTTGTGTGGCTAGCCATCATTTATATCCCCATTCCTCACTGATCAGGGTACGGTAAAAAGTGAGAGCTACAAAGCGCAGAGCCTCAGTTTGGATTACAGACCCTTTCGAGAGAGAGACACGTCCCTTGCTTCACTGCTTACCTCTTGGCTGTCGCATGTCTGATTCTACTACTTTACACCTTAAATAATCAACAGTTAAATACTTTTAAGCCAGTTTCCCACAAGAAATCAATTCGTTGTGTACAATATTCAGCTTCCAAGGTTTGAAAGGCCAACCACTTTTTTTTGGCCAACCGCTTTATTGGGTGCGTTTTCTCTTATGCCTCATCTCACCTGTGTATTTTCCCATTTTCTGCCATCTATTTGGAATACGCAGATATTAGTATTTGCACAGTATCCTATATCTTATGATTAACTTGCACAATAGCTGTAGAATGGGATAGGCTCAAAAATTAAAATATGGGATTGATATGTAAAATAAGATGTTATTAATTTAAATAAAAATTTATAAAGTTGAGAAAAATTACAGGCTTTAAAATCTAATCATACATAAGATGCATACACATCCGATTTGAAAAGATCAACACGACAACCAAAACAACTAGAGTTATGTTTAAATACTAAGAAATGTTCTGATTATCCAAGGGCATGGGTGTGCACACATACACGCACACAAATATGCTCACATGCACACACAACACACAAGTGCACAAACAGGCACACACACGCACACTCGTATACACACATGAACACACACAAACACACGTGCACACACACATACACACAAACACACGTGTACATACATGCATACGCATGCACACACACGCACAAACACACACACGTGCACACACATACAATTGCTATTTAAATATAATGGTGTATCTGCACAGCTCTCTTCATGGAAACCATCTTACTTCTTGAACTCTTAATCCTAAAGAAGACTTATAGACAGCTTTAATGAACCATTTGGGTATATATATTTTGGGAAGATCCTCACTAATTTAATGTTTCTGTCTATGGTCTAATTCAAAATAACTTCAAGTTATTGTTATCCATTTTAATGGACAATATTAAATAGAAGCAATGACTCCAGAATATTAAAAACACTAGGCAAGTATCTACTGGTACAAAACCCATCTATTACATAATGATTACATATATTTAAGTACATTTTGACAAATGGATTGATTTCCTCATATTAGATTATATATGTATGTGTATACACACACACACACACACACACACACACATATATATATATATATGACACCTACTTATAAAATTATTCTAAACTTACATGATAGGATTTTTAAAAAAATATATTTTGTATGACATTTACTTGATTTAAATATCACCTGAAACTTTAAGAGTAGGAGTTGCCAATTGACACTGTGTGTGCAAAATGTAAACAACCCCATGGGTTCTTAGATATGCAGGTCTTAATGTAAAGCTTTGCTTGCATTCCAAATATAGGAAGAACATTCTCCGTTTCTTAGATGCGGAACGGGATGTCTCTGTGGTGAAGAGCAGCTTTAAGCCTGGTGATGTCATCCACTATGTTCTGGACAGACGCCGGACACTAAATATTTCCCATGATCTGCACAGCCTCCTGCCTGAAGTTTCACCAATGAAAAACCGCAGGTTTAAGACCTGTGCTGTTGTTGGAAATTCTGGCATTCTGCTGGACAGTGAATGTGGCAAAGAGATTGACAGTCACAACTTTGTAATCAGGTGAGCATCCTTCTGTGCTTTTGAGACGCAAGCAAGTCAACAATATTTTAGTTAGAATGCTGTAAGGAATGTTTGAGATTCATATTAACATTAGGAATTGCTGATTACTGTTTATGTGTGATGTCCTTTTCAGTGCTTTATTTTTGGGCTAGAAACTTAATTACTGTATCATTGGAAGAACAGTTGATTTTCTTGTAGAATTTCACAACAGATTTTAAAGATGGGGTAATGAATATGTTAATTATATTAGTATGTACAGAGACAAACCATAGTTTCCCATACCTTATCTTTTAGTCACTCATTTCATATAACTTAATTCGTGGAAGGAAGATTATTATTTAGTGCTGTCACAGACATAAATTAATTTTACTACTTTATTAATAATAGCAGCTACAAAAAGAAGTTAAGTTAGTTGGTTTGTATCAACTATTTTGGGTCAAATTGCCTTTATTACTCTTTATTTGTGCTCTTGAAATTGTAGTTTTGTAAGTTTAGTTTCCTCATAGAATTGAACTTACTCATTTGTTATTTATTAGTGATCAATATATGTGATGAATCATGAGTTTGGTTAACTATTTATTAACTTAAAGGAGTAAGCAATGGGTCATATCTGAGAATTTAAGGAATTTTTAATGTCCAATTCTAGCATCTGTACAGCAACTTTTGTTGTCTTAGATCCTTAGGAAGCATGCTAAATGAATGAAATGGTTGTGCCAATGTGTGAAAAATAGATAATGTGACAGCAAAGGGTGTCCACAGCGAGCTCTAAACACTGCTGTCTAGGTGGAATATGGCTGTGAAGACTATGCAAGGATTCTGAACTCCCTCACACTCACACAACCACAGGGCAGGTAAAATAAGGCTGTGCAAGTGTCAGCGTGTGTTGGAAAGCATTGCGACATGAAGAAGTCGGTTTCACAGTGTGATTGACTCTGAAGGTAGTTGCTCCAAACAGGACTCACTTCTTCATCCTTCTCTGGCCGTAAACATTACATTACAGGCTGACTAAGCTGATACATTCGGCCCTATTTTGGATGCTGATAATAATACTGTTTTCTGTGTGACAGATTGCCTCCTATGGGTTAATTGGTGTCACTTTCTTTTCTGGCTTTGTTACCCCCTTTTACCGATTATTACTTTAAAAGTATCATTATTCTAATGAAAAATTCTGGTATCTTAAATTGCATTATTCCTTGGTAAGTGGGTCCCTTCCTCCTTTCATCGTTTGGTGACTGCCATCACTACGAATCACAGTCTTTCATTTTCGTTTTTCTTGCATTCATTTCCTAGAAGCTGTCCGTCTTTGTCCTGGTCTCATTCCCTTGAAACAGCCTATACGTTTGCAGACCCCTAGGACCTGATCCACTAACGATTATAGTTTTCAGTCTATGAATCTTAATGTCTGTCTTTATAAATGTCTTTGAAAAGACATTTATATAATGTCTTATATAATGTCTTTATAAAGATAAATTCCTCTTTTCTTGGTCTAGCAAGAACAGTAGGCCACACCAATCCATACACTGTCCTACTATGGACTAGCAGAACTTAGGTCACGTTGCTACCCTGCCTAACCTCTAGTTATACGCTGAGAAACTGGGGATTTGACTAATGCTGTCTTTTCTTTTTCCTTTAATGACTTGAGCACTTAATTTTGTGTCTAACTTTTAGACTTACAATTCATACATTCTGTTTCAGATTGTTAATGTCCCAGTGTAACCATTACAGACATTTTGATCATTTCTAAGGAAAGCAAAATTTGGTAATCTCCGGTACAATATTTTCATGTTTGAACTCTACACTCTTTGTCAAGTATATTTGGAGACATATTCTGTGTTCTGGAACAGAGTTGCCTCTCACCTGAAAAACAAACAATGAGAGGAATATGGTTATACATCCCAAGTAGGTGTCCGTCTTAATCCAGTTATATTTTACCCTCAGACTGTGGATGTAGCAGATGAGTATTTTGTCTAGTTTATGGATTCATGAGTACCCTGCTTTCACATAAAAGGTTAAATGTCACCATTCACTGCTTCAGTAGCTAACAATAATAATTAGTGTAGAAAACCACTTTGAAAACTCTGAGAATGAGATTGAAACAACTCACTGGCTGATGGAGGTTTCCAGTTGCTTTCTCTTCCAGATAAAGGACCTAGATGGACTATATTGCAAATTATTATATGTACATATGTGCTACAGAAGGGAAACACAGAAAGTTGCTGCACTATCAATTATTATATGTTACACACACACACAGGCACACACACAATTATTATTTAAGCCTCAAATTCCTTTTCATGGCAAATGTACATGAGGGAAATTATAGTTGTCGTAACGTGGCCCTATTCCTTCCCTGTCCTTAGGACTGCACGGTCAACATATCAGCAATTTCCCTGCATGACATCTTCAAGTTGAAAACTTTGGAATTATCACCCCACTAACATGCTCTCTTCACTAGAGCTTAGTCCATAACTTGTTTTCCTCTATTGCGAAGCTAGACTCCACCTTGATTGCAGCATCTGAGACACTATTGCTTTTCTAATCGGTCTCTGTATCTTTGCCTCCGACTTTTAAAAAAATTTAAATATATATATCTATATGTATTTGTCTTTTTGGTTCTTGCTAAATTTACTTTTTATTTATTCTTTTGAAGTTGTAATTTTTTGTTGTTGTTTTGGTTTTTGTTTGCTTATTTGATGGCAGGATTGTTTTTCAAGACAGGGTTTCTCTGTCTAGCTCTGGCTTTCCTGGAACTTATTCTGTAAGCCCTGCTAGCCTCAAACTCAGAGATCTTTCCGCCTTTGCCTCCCAAGTGCTGATATGTTCAGCTTTATAATCTTTTAACTAAATTGACTCCCTTTTTTCCTTCTAAGCCCTACGATGTCTCTGTCTTTTTCCATGCCTCCCATGCCCTCGGAAATTGATGGCCTCTTGCTGTTACTGTTACATATAAATGTATAGATATAAATACCACCCACTGAGTCCATTTTTATTGCTTGTGTGCATATGTTTTCAGGGCTGACCACTTGGTTTTAGATAACCAATTAAGGATTCATACTTAAAGGAGGCTAATTTTCTCTTTCAGTAGTCATTAGTTGCCTGTAGTCTTTTTTCTAATGTGATTTCCCCTTTTTAATGTTAGTGTGTAGATTACTATTGTCAATGTGCAGGTCTTATGTAGTTAGCCACACTGTTGAGGTGTTGGGATGTAGCACCCTTGTCATTTCTAGCAGACAAACTAACCACAGCCTTTTGGTCCTCTGACTCTTACATACTCTCTGCCTGCGTTGTGAATGTATCCACTGGAGCTGGGCTCCCTCCCCACAACCCAGTGATCTCTGCGATATGATAGATTGGTATTTCTGATATAGAGAACCACCAGTTGTGGTTTTCTGTAAGGCTACTCTTTGATGAGGGATGTGAACTTCTGCTGGACTAAGCCGGTGATGCTACAGGTTCTCTTTTGAGACCCATAACTTCACCAGCCTGAGGTAGTTAGCTAAGTTTCTAGTTTCAGGCATGATTTTCCTATGGTTGATGTGCCATAAGTCCAGTTAGATAGCTGTTGGTTCCCATCTAATATGAATACCACTACTGCACCTGTAGAGGTATCTTGTCATGGTCATCATTATCTTGATCCACATGGGTAGGACTACTGATTCCTTGCCTTTCCTGGGAGCTTGCATTGTACTTTCTGGTACTAAGAAAGCTAGACTGCAGGAAGGGGGCTTTCAGGTTATATCCAGCCAAATCTCCTGAGTCGTATGTCTCACGTCTGGGGTGTCAGCAGGCAATAGGGACTGCCGAGAGACAGTCCAAAGACGAGAAACATGCACACAAACACACACACACACACACACACACACACACACACACATGTGTGTGTGTGTGAGTGTACATATATACATAGATATATGAGTATAAACTTAAATGAAGTTATGTCACTTGGGCTGACAGTACTCCCTATAAACACAGAATATATATAAAACCTATTATCAGGCAAATTTACCCCTTCATTGATTGTCTTCTCATGCACATGCAAGAGAGAACCTCTCTGTGTAAGTTGTGTCTTCCTAAAAGGATCCTAGGACTTGTACCTCTTGTAATTCCTTATTCGCAAAGAAACACATGAAAATCTCTGTCAGCTGGTTCTTCCTTCTTATGATAGCCCTTTCAAACTTACAGTAAAATAGTTACTTGCTTGTAATTTCTAAAGAATGAATTATGAAACAATATTTATAAAGTTAAGTTCACATAAATCTAGTGTTCTCCAGCCTAGAGCTAGTCTAGAGGAAAGACACTAATGGGTATATGAATATTTGAAGTCTTTTCATAGCTAATTCATTTTCCTAAGTTGCTTTCATCTCTGTTGTATTACTCCCTTCAGGTCACAAAATTTTTAAAAATAATAATAAAACTAGGCAAAATCTATTGGGATGTACAAGTCAACTGCATATTAGGTTAACATTGAACAAAAGATTTTAAGCAGGTTTTCAACATTGAAATAATTGACAGCTCTTTGGGCATTTGAAGCTGGTTAAGACCCTTCACTCTAGAACTTTACATGCTTGTCTGTACTTTGTCAACATATGGCCATTTAATGTTTAATAAGAATTTAATAATGATAAGCTGTTGTAACACGAAAAAATAGAAGGGCTCAAGCTGAAGGTCAGAAAAGGAAAGAAGCAGGCTAGTAGCTTTTCCCACTGCCTCAGGCTGAATGGGCTGATCTGCTGCCTCTCCTCAAGTATGGCTGGAGAATCCTGAGACTGAATGTCTTCCTATCCCCAGTATGGCTGGAAAAGGAATGCATGAAACTGAGACCTTGTTCCTGTTTTATATACCTCCCTAATGTTGAGATTAAAGGCGTGTGATCGCAGGTCCTGAGATTATCTTTGTGTGAGAAGTTTCTCTTTAGTACTGCATCAATTTTGGGTGGCCTTGAACTCACAGAGATCCGTCTATCACTTAATCTTGAGTCCTAGGATTAAAGGTTTGTACTT